GTTTGGAGAGTCGTATAGCCGATGCAGCATATGAAGCTGAGGACATAATTGAATCCCATATAGCCGATCAGAATGAAGCTGCAAAATCCAGAAGCACTGCTAAGAAGGTAAATTTCAGTCCTATTGACTTGTATCAAGGTCTAGAAAAAGTGATGCAAGACTTAAATCTGATCGAAAGAGACGTGAAGAAATTTATGCAGCATAAAGGAATTCAACTGCAAAGAAATTGCTCGATTCCAACTGGTCGGCCGCCTATATCTCCTTCCGTGGTGGGTCTCGATGATGTATTGCACGAAGCCATGGATAAGCTGACCGGACAACGATCGAGTCGCCAAGTCGTCCCCATTGTCGGGATGGGTGGCATTGGTAAGACAACTCTTGCTAGAAATTTATATGAAAATCCGCTTATTGTTGAACACTTTCAATTCCGTGGTTGGGCTACAATTGCTCAAGAATCTGATTGGAAAGAGATTCTTGTAGAAGTCTTTGTTTGTTTAAATACCATAGGGAGCAGGGAGAGCTTGAGTGAAATGGGGGAGCATGAATTAGGAGAAAAATTATACAAAAGTTTGTCGGGTCGAAGGTATTTGATTGTGATGGATGACATGTGGAGCACCGATGCGTGGGATAGGATAAAGTTTTTCTTTCCTGATAACGATAACGGGAGTAGGATAGTGATAACCACTCGGCTATCCAACTTAGCTTCTCAGTTGAGTGGCTCTAGTGGCCTTGAGATGAGTTTTCTAGATGAGGATAACAGTTGGAACTTATTCCGGAAAAATGTGTTTGGAGGAGACAAGGATTGCCCTGTGGAGTTGGAAGAAATCGGTAAGCAGATTGCGAGAGGTTGCAAAGGCCTTCCTTTGTCGATTGTTGTGATCGGTGGACTCCTGGCGAAATGTAACCAGACACGAGAACACTGGAATTACATTTTGGAGAATTTAAATTCAGTTGTGAATTTAGATGACAATGAACGTTGCTTGAGAATATTACGTTTGAGCTATAATCATTTGCCGGTTCATCTGAAACCTTGTTTCCTTTACATGGGAATATTCCCCAAGGACCGTCTGGTTAGGGTCTCCATGCTAGTCAACCTTTGGGTAGCTGAAGGGTTTTTGAAACCGATTAAAGATAAAACCATGGAAGTAGCTGCTGAGGAGTACTTAAAGGATCTTGTCCAGAGAAATCTAGTTTTAGTTGGGGAGCTCGGGTATTATGGAAATATTAAACTTTGCAGGGTCCATGATATCTTGAGGGACCTATGCATAAAAGTAGCCGATAAGAAGAGTTTTTTCTGTGTGGCAACCACAGATAATCCTAGCTCGGGCCAAGAGTGGCACACTCAACGTCGAATAGGTATTCAGAGACAAGAAATGAGTTGCAAACACATTCCCGAATCACTCTGTAAGGACGTGAAGTCTGCATCGCTCGCTCGTTCAGTGATATGTAATGTCGATAGAGTTGCACCGGCACGAAGTCCCGCTCGATTGTTGAGGGTGTTTCACCGGATCAAAGTTCTCTATCCGAAATACAAATATGACCTGAAATATATGTTTCGCCCGATCAACTTGCGCCACTTTGCAGCCGCGGCATGGCTACCGATTTCCGGCCAGTTGCCGCCTTTATTCTACCACCTCTGGAATTTGCAGACTTTAATCGTTGATCATGATTTTTGGGGTGTTATTCCTACCCCACCGATGATCGACATCTGGAGAATGCCTCGACTCAGGCATATAAATGTCTATGATTTCCATCTCCTGGATCCCCCGAGCAACTTTGATGATTCTTACATCTTGCAGGATTTACAGACGCTAAAGACTGTTTCAACTTTCGAGTGGAGTGAAGAGGCAGTGAGGAGAATCCCCAACATCAAGAAACTGAACATAAGGCTTCCGTACACAGAATCCTCGTTAAGTGGTCACTACCAGCTTGATAATCTTTGCCGTCTGAATAAGCTGGAATCACTTTCTTGCAGTTTTTATAGTGCGAAAGATCCATTAGTATTCTCGGGCCATGACTTGGCTGTGAGCCTCGTTTTTCCACATACCCTTAGGAAGTTGACATTATCACGTGCTTGTCTCGTATGGGAAGACTTGGCAGCAAAAGTTGGCTATCTTCCGAATCTCCAGGTGCTCAAGCTGAAAATTTGTTCCTGCAAAGGATCTGTATGGAAAACAGTCGAAGGCCAGTTCTGTAGCCTCAAATTCTTGGAGATCGATTGTTGGCCTGACCTGGAATACTGGATGATGGAGTACTGGACCCACTTTCCTTGCCTTGAGAGTCTCATTCTTGGTGACTTGCCTAATTTGAAGGCTATTCCTCAAGAAATTGGAGATGTGTCGACTCTGAAATCGATCGAGTTAAAATACTGCAACGAATCGCTCATTATTTCGGCTAAGGAGATGGTGAAAGTGCAGCAAGAGGATATGGGGAATGATGGCCTTTTGGTGAGTGTTGTGCTGTACCACAAGAACCAAGTGGTGGAATGCTTGGCTGGTCCAAATTTTACAGTGGAAATCAGGGATGTAATTGTGTGATTATAATTTATGAATGAATTGAATGTATAATATAATTGAATTAGTAAATTGTCTTTGAAGTTTTAATTAGTCTGTTATTTATTTCTTTTTTTCTCCTCAACAATCCAAAATTTGCAATAATAAGTAGCAACATTACTCTCAACTGTTTCAGCAATTTTGTTCGGTTTATTTGAGACCTTGTACTCGAGGCCCGAAGGTTCTTCCAAACGTCAATGATGGTTTGAAGCTATTGAGAACGGTCAAAAAGCAGTTGATAAGTATTGATTGTGGAAGAAAGAATGCCAACCAAGCAACAAACTAGACATCAAAACCAAAAACTGCGGCAACTCAATTGCCTAGACGAATTTTCGGTCAAGATCTGGACTCCGAAGAACATCCACGCCGGGGAGGAAAGGGAAGCCGCCAAGAACTCGGCGGAGGGCCCGAGACAAGGATCCGAGGAGGCACCACCCATAGCATCTCGAGCGGCCCGACCCAGCGAACCGGCGGGCGGAGGGACGCAAAGCACCCCGGCTAGGCGCGGCCAATGAGGCTAAAAAAACCAATCCTACTCGATAAGGCCAATGTTCAACTCGGCTCGTTTGCAACCTTAGTCATCGGTCAATGGTATTATCATTTGTTTATTTATGTGTTTATTTTATTTGTTTATTTCGTGAGTAGTCTGGAGCAATGGGGGGTGCAAACTGGACAGCCATAATTCCCGTGATGTAGTTAATTTCCTATGCTTGAGCTGCAATCATCAACTGATTAATTATTACTCAATGGGACGCTGGAACTTGATGTTTCAAGTAATTGCACATATTTATATTTTCATGATACTATCATTGAATAATGACTATCAAACACCAATACTCTAATGAACAGATACTTTGTAAACTTTTCGATTTTGTACATCGAAAAATTCAAATCTAACGTGTCAATACATTTTCAATATCACGGTTGATTCGATTTTACCTTGATGGTGCTTTGATCCGACGATTACAATCCTCACGGGACATTGCCTACGATAGGATGAAATTTACTGACGTAAAAATCAGGGGACTATCAATTAATCCACTATACAGAAATCTTGTATTCACAGTATAATACCGTGAAGTCATAATAAACTCAAACTGTATTAGAGGAAAAGGCTATTGATCATCAAGAAGGTCCATCAATTCACTTAGAAATTAGAATAACTTATTTATGTCCAACCATGAAAGTCTCTTTAACTTTATTTGTCACACAACTACACAAGGAAAAAAAAAAGTACCGTAGTCTTCCAATCAAACTTCAACTTAACTCAAAATATAACAGAGAATGAAGTGCAAAATGCATGCACCATCAGCGTGGGGATACCTGTTAATTGGAATATAAGTCGAAGCCTGTCCTTCTATACTCAGTCTCTTCGTGCTTTTCTCTTCAATGTCGAGACCCAAGTGTCCTTAGCCTCCATCGAGCATCTCTTGTAAGGTTTAAAGTCATCGAAGAAAGGTGCATAACTGAAGGGTGGTGGTTAATTGTCTTGGTTCTGGATTGGAATGAAGGTCGACGGATAAAATCAGACAAAAAGGCTGGTTTGAGGATGATGTATCTGGTGCAGTATTAGGTCCAGATACATCAAAGTTCCCGTCTACAATGTGCACAAGTACGTGACGTGGGTACTTTGTCGATTTTTTCAATGTGTTCAGCTGTCTTTTCACAATGCACAAACTTTCATCCTGTGAGGTGGCATTTGTAACGTTGAATAAAGGCTGTTTGTAGTCAGAACTCGTTCCGTGGCGGCTTCGACTGTTATCTGAGATGCGACAGTCCCATCGTGATTGCTTGCTTCCTCTGATCTGAGCATGCACTGCAAAGCATCACCGGATAAAAGTTTTATTTTCATTCGAGCGAACAAACAAATAGATATACAAGGTTAAATTTTTATATGAAACTATTTGTCACTAAGGTTTTAACAATGCATAAATTCATTTGGACCAGAGTCTGCTTGTTTTATCAATAATCAGAGGAATTGTACTTTTCCCATCTTTAATCCATAGCAATGGAAAATGCAATTTATTCACTAAACTTGAAACAATTATACATATGGTGTCTTCATAAACAATGGATCTCAAAACCACATAACTTGATACAATTATACAAGGCATTTGTACATCAAATTCTTTATGTACTCTTTTTTATCATGACTTTCAAATATTATCGTTATTTAAAAATTACGTTTAAACCGTTGATACATATGATACAATTCATTATGCAATGTACTTCTTTTTTTTTTTTGTTTAAATATTTAAAAATAATTATCCATTTAATAATAAACATATAAAATAAAAATCAAATATAATTTAAAACTACAAAAGTTAATATGAATTATAACAAGCAACAAAAAAAACTCATACAACAAGCAATAAACAAACATACATAAGCACCTTAATACTGAAGACATCAACGCTGGAACAGAACATCAGAATGCCTTCACAAATTTCAGTCCAACACTCTTGTAAGCCTTCTCCACTTGATAACAAAATACACATAAACATTGTCCCATAACTTGTGAAAGAGAGCATAAAACGATTCTCTCCATTTCTTCTTAAAATACAATGTCGTGAGGACAGCCGAAAGCCCGACGGTGTACCCTAAAGATAGGAATACGTAAAACCAATCAATCTCTCGTTTATTACCTTCTCGGCCTAGATTCTTTACATGCATTGGAGCAAGGGCTTTATCGTCATTTCTGCAAGAAATCTTTAGTGGAGGGCCACAAAGATTGTTGCCGATGAAACTCGACTCATTCAATCCTCGAATCTGGGTGCTTTCCGGGATTCTTCCAGTCAAGTGGTTATATGACAAATTGAAGCTGCTCAAAAAAGACATGGTTGTGATGCTACTTGGAATCTCACCCGATAATGAGTTCATTGAGAAATCAAGAGATTCGAGTTGCTTCATGTTTCCAATGTTGTCTGGGATGGATCCCGTTAAATGATTTCGCGACAGGTTCAATATTCTGAGTTCCACCAGACTTGTTACCTCTCTTGGGATGTCACCAGACAAGATATTGTTTGAAAGATCAATACTGGTAACCAAAGAAAGAGTAGTACTGTAGGTGAGTTCTCTTCCTTTTGTTGCAATTAATGCACTCTCAGAAGATGCACTATCTTGATCAACAAGATATGTTAAGTTTCTTTTTGTGGTAATTGCAGTAAGGTTGTTGAGGCAGGTAGGTATTATCCCAGAAAGCCTATTATGGGAGAGATCCAAGATTTGTAGAGATGTTAGCTGGCATATGGATGGGGTGATTTCTCCACTAAAATTGTTTGAGCGCAAAATGAGAATTGCCAGTCGGTAAAATCTTGTGTTAATCCATTGGGGTATGTCCCCACCAAGATTGTTATGAGAGAAGTCAATCTTAATTAGTTTCGTGCAGTTTTGCAGTGAAGAAGGTACATGGCCATAGAAATTGTTGCCGTATAGATTCAAGGACTCTAAACTTGCTAGAAATCCTATAGAATCTGGTATTCTTCCGGATAATTCATTGTTGCGTAAGTTCAACGCTATCAATGATTGCCATTTCACGAAACAGTCGGGTAACTCACCAGACAGGTGGTTTTCCTCGAGATTAAGAGTTTTCATTATACGATTGGTTGATGTGTTGCAGAGAAATTTCGACAGATGTCCCGAGAATGAGTTATGGGAGAGATCAAGGTAACCCACATTTGTCCCAATTCGAGGCAGTGGACCACTAAACCTGTTGGAACTCAAGTCAAAGACATCGAAATAATAATATCCACGATCACTAATGGATAAAATATTTCCATCGAGTTGGTTGTGCGAAAGGTTGAGATATCCCAAACTCAAACGCCATAACCAGCTAGGAACGTTTCCATAGATTCCAGTACACGACAAATCTAGACGAGAGATGTCTTTTTGAGTCTCAAGCCATAACGGGATTCGAGATCCCAAGTCCCAAGACCGAAGATGAAGCATCTCTAGTTTGAATGGTGGAAGCCAATTGGGGTTGACGTTCAAACTCAAGTGGTTTCCAGATGCACCCAAGGATTTTAAATTCGAAAGATTGGTAAAGTGGGTTTCAGTCACAACCCCTTCCAACATGTTATTCTCTATCCAAAGCACTCTCAAGTTCACAAGTTTCCCAATACTCTCTGGTAAGTTCCCCATCAATTTATTATTATTCAAGTATAACCTTTGAAGGGAAATCAAGTTCCCCATTTCCCTTGGAATTACACCGGACAATGAGTTTTCCATGAGATTGAGTGTTTGGAGACTCTTAAATTCTCCAAATTGATGAGGCAGATGACCGGAGATTTGATTCTCTGACAAATCTAAAAATATCAAAGATCCTAAGAAACAATCTGCCATGTTTCCAAATGAATCCCATATCTCTCCTCCCAAATTATTACCCGATAAACTCAAGGTCTGAATATTGCACAGGTTTGCAATTTCTCTTGGTATTTTTCCGGAAAGTTCATTTGTACTTAAATCGAGGTACTGGAGGTGTTTGCAGGAGTAGAACCACTGTGGAATGCTTGAATTTAAATTGTTACCGGAGAGATCAATGTGTTGGAGTTTTGTGGTGTTGCTCATTGTTGGAATTGGGCCGTGGAATGAGTTGACAACCATATCAAGATAGATAAGGTTGGTGAGTTGAAAAATCCACGAAGGGATGCTAGCGTAAGGCAGGGAATTGTAGGAGAGATCAAGAGTGGCTAAATTAGAACGGCTGATGTTGTTAACAACATTCAGAGGAGCCATCAAAAAAAGATTACAATCTCTAAAATGCAGCTCGACTAAACAAGGAAGTTTGTTGATCACCTGTTGTACCCAGTTGATTGCTTTGCTGAGGTTCACACCATTCATGTTGAGGTGCTTTAGTTTAGGAAGTCCCGACAACCATTCAAGACTATCAGCATCCAACAGTTGTTCTGAATCAGCCAAACTTAGAGTGTACAAATTTGAAAGATTTCCAATATTGTGGGGAATCTTTCCATAAAATCCAGCGAATGATAGATCCAAGTACACGAGGCTTGAGAGTGATCCAATGAAGGAAGGTATCTTTTCATGAAAGTTGTTATGGCTCAGGTCAAGATATTTCAAATGCTTCAAGTTGAGCAAAGATGAGCTAAATTTCCCACCTAAACCGTTATCTTGAAGATCAAGTTGAAGAACTCGGCCGGTTAAGTTGCTGCAAACAACACCTTCCCACGTGCAACAATCAAATTTAGCATCCCAAGAAGACAACACGTTTGAGAAATCATTTAGAGATTGCTTGAAGCTTAAAAGTGATTGTTTTTCAGTTTCAGGGCAAGAGATTGAATAGAGTGGTCTCAAGGAAAAGAAAAGAAGGACCGAAAACATAGATGCAAGGATAGAGAGTTTTGATTCATTCATCTTCATTGCTTGCAATTTGTGCTGATGATGGTAATGATATAGGAAGAGTTGGGTCTTCACTGTCCATGCAATCTACATATATATACAAGGAATGAGCTTAAACTTATTCTTGCCATCTTATGTTCAGTTTTGTCCAATTCAAAGAAATATTACAATAATTACTTTAATAATTTTTTTTTTTTTAAAAAAGATAAACTATTGAGCTATATAAGACGGCCTTGACTTAAAAAGTTTAAAAAAACAAAAGACCTTGACTTACCATGAACCACTAATCTTATGTATGCAATTATGCATTGGACCCATTGGTCAGCTATTGCTTTTCCACAACACACGTTTAGACAATTGTTAGCACTTCGAAAGAATGAGCTCAACTTATTTCTTGCCCATCTTATGGTTCAGTTATTTCCAATTCAAAGAAATATTTATTGTAATTACTGTAGCTTGAATTCTGATGTTGATTTCATTTTTACATTCTATAGAACCACCACATGTCTCTAGTGCACGCAAATTGAGTCAGGCGACATAGGTATCATCTGAAGCAGGCTCGAGTTAGAGAACGTTTCCTCCAACCCCACTGTGGGCCCCGCATCGACACAGTCCCTCATGACATTGGCCAGCTCCCTCGCCACATCAGCCCACCCGAGCCTCCCGTCGGCCCCGAACAGCACGTAGCGTTTCGCAAGGTCAGCAACCGCCTCCATCTGTTCTCTCTCGGACGGCGGCCACTCGTGGTAGTAAAGTTCCGGGTCGACAATCTCCTCGAGCCTCCCGTTTCTTATCCTCCGCAGTGCCGCCGCTGGGAAGTCCACCGGAAGGCGAGATATTCTTTCCTGCCACGATTTCCAAAATACGCTGAAATTTCCATGAAGTCGGATCTATAAAAGTGAAATAAAAACGAAAAATTGGACACACCAAATTGATAACGGAGTTCGGCCAATAATGCCTACGTCTCCGGACTACTGCAGATATTTTATTGGGAAAAAGAAATACACTCGTGTTTACAAAACACTCTCGAAACCACTCACAACTCACAACTCAAAAATACACACAAAGGCTAATTATTTTTAGCTCTCTCTCTCTTTCTTTTCTCTTGAAATGTTGCTGTATTTTTGTTGTGTATTGATTGCCTTCAGAATCCCCCTCAATTTATAGAGGGGGAAGTGCACCGCTTTTTCAACAAAAGTCTGCTGAGATTTGTTCTCCAAAAGCTGCTTCCTTTTTTCTTATTTTGCTGCTTGTCAAAAACACGTGGGCTGCACATTTTTTTTCTTCAAAGGCTGCTTTCCTTTTTTTTTTTCTTGTTTTGTGTGCTGACAAAAAGAAAGGGGGAGTAGCCCCTTTTTGACTCAACATTTCCAAGAGTATCACGCCAAGAGGCCCAAGACCATAAACGTCACTCGTGCAACGAGAAGTACCCTCGGTGCATCCTGGAGCTCGAAATCAGCGAGCTTCACGGAGAATTCCGTGTCTAATAATATATGTCCCGATCGGAGGTCGCCGCATGTGACAGGTGGCGAGACTTGACGTTGAAGGAATACGAGCATGCTTACAGTCTTGTACACGATTCTCAATCTGGTGAGCCAGTCGAGAGGCGGCAAGTCCTCACGGTCCCTTGACAGGTGGTCCCCGAGGGTCCCATTTCCTGGGTACTTGTACACTTCAAAAAGGGCTGGGCCCGAGTCGAGGCCAGACCAACCGATCACACGGGCCATGTTCGGGTGAGAGACAGCTGCCAGCGTCTCGACTCTGAACAGGAGATATGCTCAGTTCCCTTTCAGTCACGCCTCGGGCCAGCTGTGCGGCCACATTTTGTTTCCCTAGAAAGAGAATCAACACGATTTCATGCGAAAAAAGCTGCCGAACTTTGTCAAATGCTCATGTACGTCGTCTAATTCATTCTAAATAAAGAATGTAGGACTTCCAGTTAGTTTCATACTTATCTACTGCCACGCTAGAATACCAATGTTGCTAATTTTCATCAGAATCTCGATTTTTTTCATGCATTATGATTTTCTGGACTCAATGGTCCCAGATTCATTCGAATTAAGATAGAGAAGACTCGGCAACTTCTGCTTTCCACTGGATCAAGACTGAATTAACTATCGTTGGCTCCACTATAAAATTTAAAACAAAGTGCGCAATCACAGCATTGTCGCCTAATCTAATTATCGAATCACTGATCATAAAACAATTTGATTACTAAAAATATTTAAAATTGTTTCTACATCCTAACACGAGCTTGCGCAAACATATCAAACTTCCAATTATATAAGAAGCAAACGGCGTAACTGATCCAATTACCATGTGCTCAACCAATTATCATGTGCATCATTATATGCCTGATTATCATCATTGTATGGTCAACTCTATTGCTCTTGAGCAAAGATAAAGTTTTTATGCATTAAATAGTACAGAGTCAAATTTTTATCAGACATGTGTTACAAAACTTCATACCTATGTGAAATTTGTATCAGACATGTGTTACAAAACTTCATACCTAAATCTTATACTCTGGGCTTACAAAACTACTGTGCGACTGGCAACCTGGAAAGATGCAAAATGATATTGAAATGTTTCAAGTAAAGCAAAAAAACACCTATGAAATGGCAAGCATCATTAAGGCAGATTAATATGAAAACGCAGTACCTAGGATTTTACTATCATCAATAAAGGCACTCCAAACAATTTTCCGCTGGAAAATGAAAACATGATGAACATACACAATATCTAGGTTCATTCTGTACGCAACCTGAAGCCATCAATTAGAGATTCGATTCCAATATCAAATGAATAATGAAATTACTCAATAGAAGATATACAATAGCATGAATATGAAACTCCCAAACAAAATCAACTGATTTCGAATATACTGCTAAATTTCAAATGCATGAGGTAACACCATTAGCCTGTGAACTTTCAGCAGCTCGAGAATCCCCATCACAATGATCGATGGCTAGATACAACATCTGAAAGTCGATCGTAGCAGATTAATAACAATTCAGTTTATACATAGGATGATAATTCTAGAGTAGCTAATATTCCCTCAAAGGTTAAACTTCAACTTATGTAAAATAGCCAGCAATAAATCCAGTAGTAAATGTAAAAATTCTTCATCATTAGGACAACCAAGTCTTTTTTTTT